TGGTTGCGGGCACATCCCCAGTGAGGGGTGTGCAGGAGGCAGCTGATAGATGTTTCTCTCTCATTGATGTTTCTAACTCTCTATCCCTCTCTCTTCCTCTCTGTAAAAGAATCAATAACATAAAAAAGAAATTAGGGACCACTTTGCCATTCTCCCTGTGGGCAGCCAGGACTTCAAACCGCACACTAATTTATATAAACTTAAATTTTGTTTAGATACACTCACAGGGACATTGGCTTGGCACTAGCTCCTAGCCAACCACTCAGTGGGGTGCATTTCATGGGCAAGAGGATGTTCGTGATTTTTGGTTGGGACTTCCGGATTTTGTATTTCCTACACTATAGTCACAGTTCTCTATCTGTATCAGGCCTGGGCATGTGCATTATTTTGCTTCGTGTTTCCAGTGCAAACAGAAGTAACTGAAGGAAAAGAATCAAACTGTGTCCCCCGTTAAGCAAATATATCTGCCTGCTCTGTACGTGTACTTTGTAGTTGGGAAAATGACCCTTCATTGTGTTTCAGTGACTCATTTCTGTTTCATCAAGCACTGGGCAGTGCCCTTTCCAGCGGTATGGCGAGAGTTTCCTTCCCTTCAGTGCCACAGAGGACAATTCAGATACTGTGAGGTCTTTCTGGTATATGGCAAAGGGCTTAGCTATGTGTGGAGCCTGTCAGGGAGGCCTCAGGAGAGCTGAATTCATGCACATGAAAAGCTGCATCCTCTGTTTCCTACGGGGCTTCTCACTCCGTGTTTCCAGGACTCTAATGCTCTAGGGACATGTCGAGAAATACCTCCCTCTCCACTTCAACCAGAGCACAAGGCTTTGTGGAATTGTCCTTAACATTTCCTTGACAAACAATGTTGAACTATCTGCAGCTAAAAAGAGAAACGAGACCACTGATTGAATAGGCAAGCAAAGCCAGCAATATCACAAATCCTCCGAGTTCACAACTGCTTTTCATTTATAGGAAACACAATGCCATTTTAATGTCAGAGCTGATCCCAGTTACAGGCACAAGGACGTTTCAAGCACTTGCAAGCAGCAGACTGCATAGTCTTGCAGTCACAACCAAGAATTAGAGATGAACAGTGATGTTTTAACTTTGTGAAAGAATGTCTTAATAGCTGCTGGCCTCTAAGTTTTATTTTATTTTTGTTGAGTAAAATCGTTGAAGTGAATTACATTTTCCTAAGTCAATGATGGTTTTTATTACGAGAGCATTTTAATAAGGAACTCTTCCAACCCTGTTTAGTATGAATTTGAATTTTGGGTAACAATGTGTTGTTGTGGGTACTAGCATGGGTGTTGGAACAGATGGCCTGGATTAGAATTCCCACCGTGAAGCAGCTATGTGGCTTTGAACAAGCCACTTAACCTCTCTGTTTTGGTATTCTCATCCATCAAATAGGGTTGCTTGAGAGGATTAAGTGAGGTTTTTTTTTTTTATACATTAATAACCATTATTGCTTATCTCATTTTCAGTTCTTATATATTTCTTGTATCACATGACCTCACTCATCTAGGGGAAATAATGAACAACATAAACTAATGAACAAAAACAGACCCTGAGGCAGGGAAGCATCGATCAGACTCTCAAACCTCAGAGGGAAGAGAGGGGAGGGTGGGGGTAAGGGGAAGAGATCAACCAAAGGATTTGTATGCATGCATATGAGCCTAACCAGTGGTCATGGACAATAGGGGTCATACGTGGGGAGGGGTTTGGGATGGGAATGGGGGGATGAGGACAAATATGTGATACCTTAATCAATAAAGAAATTTTTAAAAAGCTTCTAAAACAGCATCAGGCACATTGTCAGCACCACATAAGTAGTAGCTGTTACTATTATTATTTTGCTTACTTCATGTTACCTTGGGTAGGAGCTGGGCTGAGATTTAAGCATGTTCATTAAGCTAAAGGGACTTGCTGGGGTTTGACAAAGGTAATTAACTTGCTTTAAAGAAAAAGACACCAGCATGAGTTAGTGTAAAGATAGGGGACTATTGGCCATTTCCTTCTGGGTCTCATGAAAACACAGTTTTCTGCATCTGAAACATTAACTTATGCTCACCAAGGACTGACTGGATCTTAAAAGAGTCTAGATGTACCATAAGACAAAGTGAAGATAATATTAGGCTAAATTACCAGATGGGGCTGAGAATATACCTTTTCAAGAGATTGGTGTGCTTCTAATGAATATAGAGTCAACAGTAACTCCCACCCCCACAAGGAAAATTCTAGAAAATGGAATTAGTGACCATTCCAGCACTTCTCTAACTTCAAAATTCACCTGGTGCCTTCGTTAAAATGAAAATTTTGATTCAGCAGGTCAGGGTGGGGCCCGAGCGTCTGCATTTCTAACCACTCCCAGGGGACCATTACTGTAATGTGTGCAAGGACCATGACATCCAAGACAGGGGGCTCACTCAGCACTAGGACCAGTTTGATTGTGAGCCTATAGAAGATTTTAGGGTTCAGCTCTTTGGTTTTTGGCAAATCTTATTGAACCTTTCTGGACTTCAGACCCTACACCCACAAAAAAAAAAAAGGCTAGGGAGTTTTGTGCAAGATACAATTTAGCTTTTGCAAGCAGCTCAGCTGTCCTTTTGCTGGTCCCCAAACAGATGTGTCCCTGCTTCTCAGTTTGTATGTTGTCTCAGCCCTTGGGACATCCACAGCCAATTTTGAGCAAGATTCTGCCAGGAGAGCAGTCTAAAGGGAAGGCTGAAATGGGGGGGGGATAAGGGGGGGAGATAAAGATGGGATGCTTAGAATAGTTTCTGTCACTTCTGGAAGGTCAAAATCACATGTTTATTTCATGAGAGAATGAAATCCTCCAAACGCCATTCCATCCTTATCAGGCAGCCAATCAGCAATATTTGCTGCCAGTTTTCTCTGGAACACGATTCTGTTTCCAGCAAACGCCTCTACTTGCCTCCTGCTGTTTTAAATTCCATTATGTCAGAAGAAAACCTTAAGGAGGCCTCAGCCCCAGTGGGGTCAGAAAAAAGCAAGCCAGAGCCAGACTGCCTGGGTCAAGGCCAACACCACCACTGACTAACGTTAAAGAAGTCACTCACGCCTGCTGGGCTTGGGGTACTCACCTGAAAATGGAGGTGCTTACACTGAGCCAGAGGATCACTGGGAGGGTGAAATTGGTTAATATGTGTACAAATCGTAGAACAATACATCTTTGCAAAAACTGTATGGTGTTCGTGTGTCCTACAGATGTAACAAAAGAATCTTCCTTCTGAAGGACAGACTGTACATGCGTGTATTGGATGATAACCAAACGTTTAAACATTCATTTTCCAAAACAGCCTCATGTAATTCACTCAGATCTTGTTACCATGGTGTCTCCAGGGCCTGAATCAATGCCTGACATATACCAGACAATCAAGAAGTATTTTTGGGGTCCATAAGTGAAATCATTAACATGGAAATGAATGCTAGAATGAGAGGAATGTGGGCAAAGTAGTAAGAAGAGAAGACAATATAGGGACTAAGGATGACTGTACTAAGCTTAATATGAGCTAACTAAAGAGTTGAGAGAACAACAAAATAAGCTAAACTATATTTTAAAATAAAATAAACTATTTAAGGGATTAGGAAGTAGGGACATAAAACCCAGATTGATTTTTTTTCTTAAAAAGTGAATACTAGGCTGCTTTTCAAAACCCAAACTGTTTCCTGTAGGTTTCGTAAATTGAAATAGTGGCAACAATGAGGAGCAGAGATTTGGGGCTCGTGGTTCTCTTTGGGCGGGAGGGGGGGGGGCGGTACACAGGAAGGCGTCTTGCCTGCTCTAGCATCTTTTTTAAAAAAATTAATTTCTTTATTGATTAAGGTATCGCATATTTGTCCTCAACCCCCCATTCTAATCCCCCACCCCCCACCCATACCCCCACCCCCTTATTGTCCTTGACCACTGGTTAGTCTCATATGTATGCACACAAGTCCTTTGGTTGATCTCTCCCTTTTATCCCCACCCTCCCTCTGAGGTCCAACAGTCTGACCCATGGCTCCTTATCTCTGGGTCTGTTCTTGTTCATCAATCTATGTTGTTCACCATTTCCCCTAGATGAGTGAGATCATGTCCTACTGGAAATACACTTATAAGAATAAAAAATGAGACAAGCAATAATCGTTATGCTGAAAGGCATATGAATCAGTCTGTAGTGAGCTTCTTTCTGGGCCACCAGTTCTTTAGAGACCCAATTTCAATGTCAAACAGTTCCTTATGTGTACATTGTCAGCAATGATATTTCAGTTCTGGATGGGGGGCTAGCATCTTTACTGTGGGCTTTCAGGGCATGCTAGATCTCAAGTAGGAGAACACATACCAGCTTTCAGTGCATCCCTGCTGGATATATCTGTTCCTTACCCAGCAGGCATTGGAAGACCCTGTGTCCCTTGGGCAATTCTCTCCCAGCCTGTGTTGGTTGTGGATTGGTATGAAATGTATAACCAAGTCTGTGATTGTCACCTCTGATTCAGATAGCTGATAGAGTCTTCAGGCTGTGGCAGGCCATTGGCGTCCACGCATGCAGAAACACACACACACACACACACACACACACACACACACACACACATACACACACACACTGTCCTAGACCGGAACTGGAGAGAAACACCTGAGAAAGTGGAGAGAAACTAGACAGCTGAGAAACCAGAGAGAAAACCACATTTTCCAGCTTTTGCTTTCATTTGAAACATATTATTACCAATATACAATTTGTCAGTATTCCTTCTACCTTACTTGGATTTAAAAGTTACAGTTTATGTAGCTTTCAGAGAAATATTTTATAGCATGTCCAACCAGCAGTGGGGTTTTGACAATCATAATACTAGAGAGTAAGCGTAGAACATGTTTGCATTGTACCTATTATATTTCTCTATTTCAGGGGAAATTTGGATTTTTGGAATGCAAGCTGCACATTTTAAATAGTGTTTGCTAACTTTGCAGTTGACCCCACATTCTCAGCTCTCCCCGTCACCTGCCTTTCCGAGTTGGCTTTTGTTCACTTTGTGATATGGGGAGAGCTTGAAAGAATAACTTTCAAAAGTAGCATTTTAAAAACTTTTAAATCAGGAAAACAGGTAGCACAGGCACACTTTGTTTTTGTTCTCTCTCTCTCTCTCTCTCTCTCTCTCTCTCTCTCTCTCTCTCTCTCTCTCTCTCTCTCTCCCTCTCTCCCCCTCCCTCCCTCCCTCCCTCCCTCCCTCTCTCTCTCTTTTGCCTTTGAAGTACTCCAGCAAGTTCATGGATCTAGTTAAAAAAAAAAAAAAAAAAAAAAAAAAGGACAGATATTCTCCTAATGGCAGAGATTGCGTTGGAGGCAGTGGGTTTGTGACAGGGAGCCTGTGATAACAGGCTCCAGCTGTCCCCCAGAGCTCGCAGAGGGAAAACAACCCTTGTCAGAAAGGAGTTCTCTCTTCCAAAGGCCTCTCTGTTAATTTATTTTATTTATAAATCAGAGTGCTCTGTGATAGACTTAAAAACTGGAGATTCTAAAAACATTCCCTCTGGGCTGAGGGGTTGGGTAATGATGGACTTGAGACTTCTCTCAGCACGTCTTTTCTTTTTAATTGGAAAAATGTAAGCACATATTTAAAACATCAAGTTAAATCAGAACAGAAAAAATTGAAATGAAAAACAAGTGGAAACAAATGAAGAACCTAACATTTGTGTAAAGATATCAACAACATTACCACACAGAGAAAATATTTATTTTAAGGGCTTTTCAACATAGTTCTCTGTCCATTTTTAGTGGGAAGTATACTGAAGACAAAAAGAACAGCACAAACTTTTGAACTTCACAGTTTTTTAAAAATGGAATTTATTGGGGTTACATTGGTTATTAAAAGTATATAAGTTTCAAGGGTACAGTTCTATAATATATCATCTGTACGTTGTATTGTGTGTTCACCACCCCAAGTCAAGTCTTCTTCCATCACCATTTATCCCCCCTTACCCTCTTCTACCTCCCCACCCCCTTTGCCTCTGGTCATCACCATGCTGTTATCTGTGTCTATGAGGTGTTGTTGTTGTTTTTCTTAATCCTTTCACCTTTTTCACCCAACCCCACAACGTACCTCCCCTCTGACAGCTGTTTGTTAGTTTATTGTTATTGTTCATATTGGCATTACAATTTTATTTATTTATTTTGTTTCTTGATCCTCACTTGAGTGTGTGTGTGTGTGTGTGTGTGTGTGTGTGTGTGTGTGTGTAGTGTAATGTGCTAATTAGACAGGACATCCTTCCAGATGACTTTATGGACAAAGCCAGGGCTGCGAGGGAAGCCCAGGTCCCGGGTGCCAGAGAGAAGCTGTTGACAGTAGCTGGGGAAAGGAATCCCTACTCTTGCACGAATTTCATGCATCAGACTCTAAGTGTGTGTGTGTGTGTGTGTGTGTGTGTGTGTGTGTTTATAGAGGCCCAGCACAGTAAATTCATGCACAGTATGGTCCCTAGGCCTGGCCTGCGATCAGGGACATTTTCCTCACCTGCCACAGCTGGCCCTACCCCCTGCCACCACCCACCCCTGTATCCCCCATTTGCCATTGGGTGATCCGTGCCTGACAGCTGGGGGTAGGGACTGAGAGGTCAGCTGTTCCCACCCACTCACTGGCCCTGCCCTTGCCATGGGTGGCCATCAGACGATCAGAGCCTGCTGGTTGGGGAAAGGGACCAAGAGGTGGTCAGTACATTTCCTAATGACTGGTCCAGTGGTAATTGTGGTCGTTCTGCATATTACCCTTTTATTATATAGGATATATATTCCTCACCTGAGGATATTTTTCACTGATTTTTAGTGACAAAGAGAGGGAAAGACAGAGTGAAACATTGATGTGTGAGAACCTCATTGATTGGTTGCCTACTGCACGAACCCTGACCAGGGCCCAGGCTACAGAGGAACCTGCAACATGTACCTGCCCTTGACTGGAATCAAATCCAGGACCCTTCAGTCTGGTGCTCTATTCACTGAGCCAAACCAGGATAGGGCCACTTGAGGATATTTTTCCATGGATTTTTTTTTAGAGAGAGTGGAAAGGAGAAAGAGAGAGAGAGAGAGAGAGAGAGAGACGTTGATGTTGCCTCCCACACTGGCCCCAACCAGGGGCAACCCAGGTATGTGTCCTTGACTGGGAATCAAACCTGAGACCCTTCAGTGTGAGGGCCAATGCTCTAACCACTCAACAAAACCAACCAGGGCAACATTACAATTTTAAAACAGTTTTAAAATAAAACAAATGAGTAAATTTGTTATATTTTTAGGAATCAAAATTTTCAGTGTAAGAAAAAATAAGTACAAATATAAAAGAAAAGAGCTAAGAAAAATATTGTTACATTAAACATTGAATGGATGTCCATTATCTCTATAAGGTAGTTTCTAGAGAACTAGTATGTTTGATCATTTTAGGAATCCAAGATTTTTAACAATGCAATTTTGTGTTTCTAATAACAATTTTATTTTCTTCTGGTTTTTATTTACATTGGTTTTTCTTTTTTGGTCCATGTTTAATTAGATGTTATGAGGAATTCTAAAAAAAAAAAAAAAAAAAAAAAAGTCCCACCTAAGAGAGTCAAAATTACCCAATGAATTCTGGCTGAAATTCCTTTTTGAGACATTAAATAAATGTATTTTAATGGGCGAATGTAGGGAGAGAATTCCAGCATAAGGCAGAGAGCCTTCTGGGCTCCCTTTGACATAGAGCAAAGGGGAAACAGAGCATTTGAGGGGAAGGGATATTATCAAGTGCAAAGTAGAAATGTGGAGTTGATTTTACCACCTCCTTCTCCTTGCCACTATTCACCAAAGTCCAACTACGTCCCCTCTCTTCAGTGAAGCCTTCTTAGCTGCTCTAGCTCCACACAGCCATCTGTCAACCACACATAGGTTTTTGGAGTGGCAGTTATTTAATTCATTTCTCTATAAGCTCTGTTCATTCAGTCATTAGGCACCTGCTGTGTGCACATCATGCAGTGCCCTAGAGATATATGAATGAGATACAACCATTGTCATCAAATAAGGTCACGGTGTAGCAGAGGAGAGAAACTGCTAAATATCAGCAGTATAATGTGATACAAGAAATGCTAAAATAGCAGTATGTAAAACTCACATGGTAATTTGAAGGAGGGAGAATTGATTTTGCTTGTGTGGATGGAGGGAGAGAAAGAAAGAGAAGAGGGGGCAGAGGTCATGTCTTACAATCCTATATAATAATCCTGTATAATAAAAGGGTAATATGCAAATTGACCAAACAGTAGAACAACCCGTTGCTATGACGTGCACTGACCACCAGGGGAGCAGATGCTCAATGTGCTCCCACAGGGGGAGTGCCATTCAGCCAGAAGCTGGGATGATGGCTGGTGAGCACAGAGGCAGTGGCAGGAGCCTCTCAGTCAGATATCCCCCAAAGGCTCCTGGGCTGCAAAAGGGCACAGGCCAGGCTAAGGGACCCCCCACTCTCCTCCCCCGAGTGGCTTGGATAGTAGGAGCGTAATAAGTGTGTGGGGATTGTGATGGGTCGGGGTGCTGCATAGGCAACCAGACTTGGTGGGGTTGTGACAAGGAAAATGGAAATGATGCAAAATATTGGGCTGGAGGGAAATCCAAGACCAAGTTTGTCTATTCCTGGATTTTGCCTAAGGCTGACGTTGGTTGCATGTATAGTCCTGCATCTCTCTCTCCCAGGGTGTTCCATAGCATGGTTTGTGGTTAGGATAGGGAGAGGTGCTGTGTGCAGTCCTGTCTCATCTTGAATTTTACAAAGCATTTCATTGTATAGGACCTGCCCAACACAGACCAAGTAGCCCAAGCAGATGATCGTTATCATTCCACAGACAAGTGCAAAACTTGGTTCTGATTCAGTGTTGAGAATAGGCACAATTAAGCCTGTTAGTCTTGCTGTACATCAGAGGACAACAAAGAAATGCACCCAGCACTTCAAAGGCTTGTCCTGTGGTAGGCAGCCATAGTTGGCACTTCATTTGCACTTAGGAATGCTAAAATAAACAGTGGTCAGCATCTGATCAGATCAGCTGTACAAAATCTTGCTCTTGCCCAGGGCAGCCCACTCATCCCAGAAATACCATTGCTGGTGTGTACAAAGGGTGCCAGATGTTCTTATTCCTTCAAGATGTCCCTGCGGACCTAGTCACCTAGGAAGTACATTTCAATGGTGTTGACAAGCCCTACTTTGCCAGTAAATGAAGGGCTAGGTGCACTTGTAAACCAGGAGTTCCATCTGTGCCATTCGCACATCATTGGCTCTAGTAATTGGGGTTGAAAATTAGCAAGGAAATTTTGACTAAGAGGAGAATGAAAGCTATAAAAAAAACAACAACAACAAGGTGTCACCTTCAATAAAGAGGAGTGACCAGTGACCACTTTGCATATCAGTGCAATCATTTCTTTGGCTGTCAAGTCTTTTTGGATATAATTCTTTCCCCAGGAACACATTACATATATGTTCTCTAGCCACAGGGAAATACACAGGACAGCTTCAGGGAGCTTCAGAGGCTCTTGCATGTTGCATTAAAAGCTGAGCCCTTGTGGATACACATGAGATAGATGTCAGTATTTTAAAGAACGGTATTGGCATATATACTGTATAAAGCTTATGCTGTTGGAAGCTGTAAACACTACTTTATTTTGACTGCAGCACAAGTTCTTGGGATCTTGTAGTTTTTAAACAATTGGGTCAAACTCACACTAAAATATAGTGAGAAAATTTGGTGTCAGATAATTCTGATTACTTGAAGCTTAATTAAGAATTTGCTCCTCTGGACAGGTAAAGGAAGCCCTAACACAAGCTGAAAAATCTATTACATTATCAAAACTGTACCATCAGAGAGTCAATCCTTTGACAGTATGATAGATTGAATCTATCATACACAAGTACTGTGGGGTCTAGTAGACCAGACCTGGGTCCAAATTTTAGCTCTGTTGTTTATTACCTCTGAGACCTCAGGAAAATAATTTTTGAGCCTTTATCTGTTCAATAGGAGATAATAATGAATAGTATTTGAATTATTTGTATGTTATATGATGTGCCTATGGACATATAGGGTACATAACAAATATTTCCTTTTTCCTATTTGTCTTCCTTTCTGTTCTCACATTCCCTTTTATTATTAGTCTTTATTGATAGCAAATCTCTAGAACTTCTTGGGAAGGGAAATGAAAATGGCTAATATCTCTTATGGGCTCCCAGGTTACTAAGTTCTAAGCCCAGATCTGTCCAATGAAAATATCATGGGACCAATATGTACTTTAAAATTTTGGACACATTAAAAAAGTAAAAATAAATTAATTCTAATAATATGCTTTAACCTAATTATTAAAAATACCATTTCAGCATATATCAGCATACAAACATAATGAGACACTTCGTATTTTTGTACCAAAGTTTTAAAATCCAGTGTGCAGTTTACACTTAAAATACATCTCAGTTCACATTGGCCACCTTTCATGTGCTCAGTAGTCTCATATGGCTAGTGACAACTATATGGAGCAGTGATGTCCTGAGTGCTTGACATGTGTTCATTCTTTTACTCCTTGTTTAATATGGGTTCTCTGGAAAACAGTCTTATGTCCAATCCCAGGGCAGTGAGAGTGAGGGAGAAGGGAAGTGAGGCAGATACTTGCTTTGCTGGTACAGAACACCTGTTCAGAAAACTGGCCCCAAAGACTTCTTAATGGAGAAAGAGGAAGGATTTTTCTGTCGTCCCACATCTTCCATTCCTTTTTGGGCAAAGTGTGCCTCCTGGGAGCTAACTTTGTGCCCTTCTGAGCTGTGATACCTAGCCCCTTGTGAGGCAGCCTCTGAGGAGGCCACATCCCACATCCTGTGGCTTGGATCTTCATTCCAATCTGGGTGTGAATCCAGAGCTTCAGTAGGTCTATCAGGTAAAGCCCAGGAACTCTGGAGCTGTTGTATGTCCCACCACAGTGGGCAATCAATGCCATTCTGAATTTGACAGTCAGGAAGAGGCCAAGGCTGCTAGGGATGACAACAGTGGTGGCATCCAGGAGTCTCCATGAGTGGCCAATAACTCAGGAGCTAGAGAAGCTGAGAGACTCTGAGGAAGCACATAAAATGTGTCCAATCGATTTCTCAACCTAATGTTGGAGGGAACTGAGACATTCTAACGAGATGGCTGCTGCCTAGTTTGTGTTCTTAAACACAATCTCCTATAGGTCATTACCAGCTTGGCACAGCTCAATATAAATCAGATTTTCTGCTAAGAGCAGGTTTTTATCCATATAAACTTAAAAGACAGAGAGGGCCTGAGAAGAGAGATAGATATTGAAGGGTTCAGAGGACATTCTTGACCCACCTGTAATGTTGCTCAGGAGCTGATCACTTCTGGCTTGCCCAGGAATTCCCAAACCATTCTCTGTCCCAGCTGGGAGGCTGGTACTGACCCTTCTATAGGTCTCCAGCCTGTCAGCAGATTTAGCTGGACAGAAACATTCCATTCATTTACCATATTTTCCAGTGTATAAGACGACTTTTGAAACAAAAAAAAGCCTGCTCAGATTGGCCAGAGTCAGAGAGGCGGTCTATTAAAAACAGAACTGGTGTTGCCTCGGAAGTGGGGGGTAGTCTTATACAGCGAATATAGGCCTAAACCTATGTTCTAACTGTAAAATTAGGGTGTCGTCTTATACGCCGGAAAATATGGTACTTCTTTCCCCCCCCAATGTTTTAATTAAGGTATTATATGTGCACATATCTTACCATTGCCCCCCGACACACACACCATTCCCATACATGCCCTCACCCCCCAGTGTTTTGTGTCCATTGGTTATGCTTATATGCATGCATACAAGTCCTTCTGTTGATCTATTTACTTCTCCAATTGTTGTAATGGGCAGGGTATTAATATCTGAACGAAGTCCTTAGAGCAGCATGAGTCTAGAATTGGAGTATGAGATGCTGTTCAGAGCTGAACAAGAACTGCTCTTCCTTTTTCTTCCGGAACTTCTATTGGAATCAGAATGCCTGGCAGCAATAGACATGAGCAGTCAGCTCTCCAATTCCAACTTTGCAGACGAGGATGCTGCAACCCAACTAAGCAACAAAGTCTTCCCCAAGGTCAGACAGCTCATTGTGGAAGGAACCTACACACACACTTAGGTTTTTAAAATTTTCCCATTTTATTTGCACAGTACCCTTGCCTTATCACACCATTTAGTTTGGGAATACCATAGTTCATTTTCATGGACGGAAGTTTCCGAATGATCCTCTCTCTACGTCAAAAGGGTACCTTCATGTCTATACAAGTACACACCTCTGACCATGTCACAATGCCACGCAAATGATCACATAGGAGAAGCCCTATGCCATAACAAATTCCCCCTTGTCCTGACTGGTGTGGCTCAGTGGATGGAGCGTCGGTCTGCGGGCTGAAGGGTCCCGGTTTCGATTCTGGTCAAGAGCATGTACCTTGGTTGTGGCCACATTCCCAGTGGGGGGTATGCAGGAGACAGCTGATCAATGATTCTCTCTTATTGATGTTTCTAACTCTCTATACCTCTCCCTTCCTCTCTGCAAAAAAAAAAAAAAAAAAAAAATCAATGAAAAACATATATATAAATAAATAAATTCCCCCTTAATCATATCTACATAAAGTTATCAGTCCCCAGAGCTCTATCAAATCTTAACTTTGCCAAATAATTTCTCATCTTGATGCACTTTCTTGGAAGAACTCGTAAAAATATTTTAGTAAATACCAAATGTAACTAATAGAAATTAAAAATGTTATAGAGCCTGGTGAGTATTCTAGCATTGGTTAATAGATTTGCTGACTCACCTTGGAATACCTTACCCATGCTTGGGTGATATGGGATAGGAAAGCTCCCTGTTGTCATATTCGGGGATCATTTGTGGTTTCATTGTACTGTTGCCTTTGTAGGATGATAGGTGGATTGGCCATATAAGAGATGAGCATATGCTCTCTGTTTTCAATTTTCAAAAAATTAGAACATTTGTAAGCCAATTTTGTTCAAGAATGCTGACTCAAAGGGTGAAGAAATCAAAGTCCAGTTTCACAATTTACATGACTGTGGTTAAATTTCAGGACTGTGCAATCCTCTTCCCCTTTAGCTTTCCTACCCTCATTACTGCTCCCCTAAAAAACAAAAGGCGAGAGGAGAGAGATGAGAGTATTACTGTCGACTAAAGTGCTGCTTGAAAAGGATGCTGTAGAGAATAGACTGCAGGATACTTTGGCTCTGTCCAAAATTCTTGTTTAGCTGCACAGTTTGATGCTCAAGATTTTTCACAATCATTATTGTTCACAAAAGTTAAAAATGTTGTCTGGCCCTCTCTAACTCTCACCCTATACAGAGCCATTGGCATTTTGCCTAAGAGTTTCTTGTTTTCTCTTTATGTAGCACTTCATGTATATGTCAAAATATGATTACAGGGTTTTAATCCTTCCCACGATACCTTTGGCACTGGAGATGGAAACTAATCTCTCCCACTCCTTATCGGAATTCTTTAAAATAACCAAGAATTCAGAAATCAGAGTGCTTTGGATGGAGGACAGAAGACATCATTTTGTTGAAGACCATCAGCCTATTCTAAACAATGAGAGTTGCAAATTTGATTTGAATAATGTGGTAAATCAATTTTTCACTTTTTCAAAGCCTTAAGATCTCCAGGAAAAAGAGGAAGGTATGGCTCTTCACACAAGGGCCAAAGAGGTGTGGTAGTGAGTTTCCTGAGTGTGTAAAGGTATAAGTGGTAGAGAAAATGTTCTGTGTTTGTTTTTTTCTCCTAGTGCAAAGCCCAGCAGACTAAAAGTGGGAAAGTGATGGAAGAAGACTAGGAGACTGGGAAGCCCTGTGGGAGAAGTACTAGATCAGTGCCCAGCAAAGCACAGCTCGTGAGCCACATGCGGCTCTTTGGCCCCTTGAGTGTGGCTCTTCCACAAAATACCACGTGTAGGCGCACACTTACAGTGCGATTGGAACTTCGTGGCCCATGCACAGAAGTCGGTTTTTGGCCTGGGCGAGTCTAATTTGAAGAAGTGGCATTAGAACACTCAAGGGGCTAAAGAGATGCACGTGGCTCTCAAGCCGCAGTTTGCCGACCACTTGACTAGATGATGACAAGAATTCCCTATGGCATACATCTTTCTTTAGGGACTTGTCTCCATTGAGGCTTTTCCTTGTAGTTGACAAAAAACAGAATTTACCTGAAATAGACCCAAATATATATGCAAACTTAATAATGTTAAAGAATATTATTATCAGTTAACTGGGACAACTGGTTAACCATTAACTGGGACAACTGGGACAACCGGTTAACCATTTATAAAAAGAAACCAGTTTAGCTCATGTTCTCACACCCAATGGTAATATAGATATGGCATAGATCAAATATTAAACTGCTTAAAATGTTGAACTAGAAAAATATAGGCAAATATTTAATTTCATCTTTGGATGGAGAAAGACTTTCTAAGTTTAAAAGCATTGGAAAGAAAAGATAGGTCTGTCCTATGTTAGAACTGCCATCAATGCGATTAAAGGCCAAAAGCAAACTGGTAGATTTTTATAACATATTATTAAAAACTAATAACCTTACTTTATTAAAAAAAAAAAAAAACCACACATGTCATATCAATTGATAAGAGAAGCTCCCAACCTGTTGACCCCACAGCTTCCAGATTCTCTACTCCCTCTCAGAGTCATGCTTCACAGATGATTTGTCTGCACACATTATCTCCACTTCCCTCCTTCCCCCATGATCTCAACCTGATCTCCTCCCTCATCAGTGCACTGAGTTACTACTGACTTCCTTGTGGCCAAGCCCAGAGGTCTTTTTACCCCCCTAAAGTTAAATCTTCCTTTCCATGAGTTGAATGCTTCTTCTTCCTCACTTTGGCCTCTGCAATAATGCATTCTTGTGTCTCTGGATGCTCCTTACTCCTCAGTTTCTTTTCTCAGGTAGGTACCTTTCCCTCTACCAGACCCCCCTGTAATGCTCAAGTTCCCTGGATCTCAGTCCTGAGTCCACTTCTCTGTCATTGAACATCATCTCCTGAGGTGACCTCATCCATCTCATGGATTTATAGCTGCATAGTATCCCATGTTGTAAATGTACCACAGCTTTGTAATCCACTCATCTGCTGATGGACACTTAGGCTGATTCCAAATCTTAGCTATTGTAAATTGTGCTTAGGCTGATTCCAAATCTTAGCTATTATAAATTATGCTGATGTGAACATAGGGGTGCATATATTCTTTCTGAGTGGTGTTTCAGGTTTCTTAGGCTATATTCCTAGAAGGGGGATCACTGGGTCAGATGGCAGCTCCATTATTTTTTTTGAGGAAACGCTACTATTTTCCATAGTGGCTGCACCAGTCTACATTCCCACCAGCAGCGTCATTTCATGGATTTATATGCCAGTTATAGTCTTATAATTCACACATTTATATTCATAGCACAAGTCTAACTTCTGAGTTCTGTGTACTCTTTCTGCTTGTCATCTCCATTTGCATGGTCCCCAGGCATGTCAAATTTTAAATAGCAAAAGTTGAAGTTTTGTTTTTCCCTACCCCCACCTGTCTTGACAAACAAACAAATGAAAACTTGTTTTCCTTTTGGTGTTCTCCATTTTAATGAATGAATGGCACCATCACTTGCTGCTCAAATTTAAAACCTATTCTTACTACCTTCCAGTTCTCCACATAGTAGCTCAAGACGTCTCTTTAAGATAAATTTGGGTCAACATGTTGTCATTGAACTTTAAAGAAATCCTAAATACCTTACTCTGACTTACACCTGAGTGAGTTTTCTCTAATTCTTTGAACTCATGCCATTCTCTCCAGCAACTTCTTTGTTTCTACATCTTGTTCTCCACTCAGTTCCTGATTCCTCCAAGCAATTTATTGCCTCCAGGCCTTTGTACCTGCTGTGCTCCTTTCTCTGCCCAGAAACCTCTTACTCACCTCTTCTCCAGTGAGGCTTTCTATCTCCCATTTTATTTTCTCTCTCTGTACTCTATTTCTTTTACAGTCTGTATAATTTTGTATTTATTTTGTTAATTGTCTACCTCTCTAGAAAGTAAATGCCACAAAGCCTGACCATATCTTTTATTCACCAATATATGTATTCAATGAGTAGCAGGCTCTCTATCAGCATTTCTCAAATGAGGGAGCTATTTAATAATTAATAAAAACTTAAATAGGTTAATAGAAGATAGTTTATAAAAAGGGAAACATAAGTAGCCTAATTAACATATATGAAGCACCTAGAATTGTACCTGTTAGGTACTAAGCCCTATATATATTTAGATATTGTTTTATATTCATAATGTTTAATAGTATTTGGTAAATTAAAATTAGTATTGTCACATAAACTGATAGTCAAATTAAAAGAGTAAGGAGATATCAACTTCTGCTTAGGTAAGATTAAAAATATTTAGATGGTCAACATTTTGATGAGATAGGTACTATTTACAGATAGTTCCCAAGTAATTTGACCAAAAACAATTTGGATGAAAGCAAGTCAGTTAGTATAGCCTTTTCCTTATTTTTTTCTTTTTGCCCCTCCTTCCTCCCCCCCAGATTCTCTGATATTTTTTCTTTTTCTCTACCCTCCCCCCCCCAGCAATTAAGAGGCTGAAAATGTTTGTGGCAAACATATATTGGGAAAAATCTAAATGGACAACAGGGGAATTGTTGGAATGAGTTAACTTGCTAGCAATAGGGTGTTATGAGAGAAAGTTTGTAGAGCACATACTAAGTTGAAAACTGCCTGTGGTGAGCAAAATTAACAAGTCTAGAAAAATCAATGACTACTAGTAGACATGTTCAGCAAAATTGCTGTTTATACACATGATCATGTTGACCAGTTTGCTTTTGGCCACATTGCATGTAGTTAGAAACCTACAGATATATCAAGAGCCCTTAAAGTGTCTACAGTTTTAAACCCAAAATTTCACTGTGAAGAAAAAAAAGAAATGTGGTCAAAGATTTATCTGTAAAGAGTTATCAAAAGTTAGCAACCAGCCGAAACCAGTTTGGCTCTGTGGATAAAGCCTGGGCCTGTGGACTGAAGCTGTATCTGGTTCGAATCCAGTCAAGGGCATGTACCTTGGTTGCTGGTACATTCCTCATAGGGTGTGTGCAGGAGGCGGCTGATTGATCTTTCTCTCTCATTGATGTTTCTAACTCTCTATTCCTCTTCCTTCCTCGCTGTAAAAAATCAATAAAATATATATTTTTTAAAATTAGCAACCATATAAAAGGGGGAAAAAACTTAAAGCAACATCCAACATTAAGGGCATGAGTCAACATGAGGGTGAGCAGCCAGGAATAGGTAGAAACACTATTCCTTTTTCTTACTGGATATTGAAAATTCACACTTGTTAGTACAGTTACTTAGAATAATTTGCTTAAGTTACATAGTATAGTAAGATTGAGAATTTGAGTGCATTTTATGACAAATCATTATATCATAAAGGGTTGAAATTGTTCCCAAAAGGAAATGTAAAAGCATTTATTACAGCTCTGATATGTATCAAATGGCTGCCACTTGCTTTTAGGGAAGGAAGACCAGCATGGTGGCAAAATTAGCAGCATTCAGGGATAAATGGGTGGCAGTTAATTGTGAAAGTAGCTGTGGCAAGATGAAAGACATTTCCTTTGCCACTCTCACCAACTGTAGCATGCTCTGGGAAGACGTTTGCAAGCCAGATGCCTTCCATGTGGAAGGCATTTAATCTCCTAAATAAGATCACATTTACAGATAAAACCAGAAGAAAGCCAGCTTGACAGGGGTATCATACCAAAAGCCAGGGTAAGCAGGAAGCCTTTGAAGGATAGAAGATGAAGGTAGTTGGGGTTTGGAAGGAAGTGGTTTTGTAGACCCTGTTTGGTCTTGGTTGTTTTTGGTCATTATTGGAGTGGTGTCTTTGGCTCATTAAAGGTTTCATTCTGACATATTTATAAAAAACAAGGGACAAGATTTGTATTGGTTTGGTAGCACTCCTGTTGTTGGTTAGCCAAAATTCACCCCTAACCTTTTATGAAGAGTTATTTACCTTCTAGAAATGTTGCCTACTTGATATTTGAACTTTAAGATTTTAATCCAATAGGCCTTTCACATACAGGCTAACTCATTTAAAGATAACTTTTCTAAACACTTCTAACAAAGAATTATGAACTGAGAAGAAAGACAAAGGAGGAATAGCTTTGGATTTTAGTACCTGTGCCAGTACTATTAATCAGGATCAAAACAGAGAAAAGGAAGAGGAAAATCTCAGTGATTGAAAGGTGTTAGTTTTGTTCACGCTGAAACATCCTTAGAGGAATGTTTTACTTTAGGTTAGACTGGACCAATTTATTTTAATCCTATGGAAATAGATACGTAGCTAAGTTTTTACCAAAAAATGATTTATTTAATTAAATTCTCATTGTATTATGAAGGCTTATTAATAGTTTAATACTAAACTTAAAAATAAACAAAACAGATCACAGAAAAGAATGTGCCTATTGGTGATAATTTCTTCATTTTTGCAAATCAGCAGTGTGTAATAGAAAAATCAAATCCAGGCTTGCTTAAACTGAATTTGAAGCTGATGTTATGTTGAGTTAAACAAATATAATTTATATTTGCTATTTCAACAGAGTTACCATGGAAGATAAAAACTAAAAAAACAAAACAAAAACAAACAACAACCAAAAAACCAAATCTACCTGCTTTTCAAAAATTATGTGTGTTTGAGAATTTTATCACATTATTGATTAATTGAAATACAATAATGTACTTTTAGGTTTGGGGTAGTTGATTATTCAAGATGTGTGTTATATTGAAATCTTCAATAACCTGATTTTCAATATAAAAAGGGTATTAGAATCAGAATTCTATTTAGGTTAATAAGGTGATGAAAAACTCAAATTAAATTATTCAAAATAAATTAAAAGTTTCCCTTTAGTCCTTTTCATGCTGAAAGACAATAGAGTATATTTATGGCTTTATAATATTGTAATGTATCTAATTGGTTTCTATTTAAAATTTATGAATGAGTA